TTGGTCCCCAACCAGGCAGGCGTGTGGATCCAATGGTGGCAAGAAGTAAAGTCGACGATTTCCTTTGCTGTCACCAGGTGGATGGTGGACGAACGCGTGGTCTCTTCCAGTTGGGGCCTGCACGAGCAAACAGAGTGCGATAGGGAAAACGCTCAGTTGACATATACGCAAGATAGGACCGAGCCATCTTAACTGACGCACCAAAACCAGCTTGCTGAAGAGAATCCTCGCATTCCCTAAGACACGACGTTTGACTTCACTGTTGCAAATGTGTTGTTGCTACCACATACGCGCAATCCTCCTCATGCACCCGTTTTCGAAGGCCGAGAGCCGGCGCATATCGTCTACGCGAACTGGCCATGACTCACTTCCAAATAGTAACACCGCCCGAACGGTGGCATTGTAAACACGACCGTTTACCACGAGGGAGATATCCCCGCGAAGCCACAAGTGCTGCACGTTAACAAACGCCGACCCAGCTTTGGCGTTACGAAGAGAAACTTACGTTCTAATGATGCCACCAGCAGACACACAGCTGCCAAGATAGACAAAGCTATCCACTTGTTCAAGCTCTGCACCTTTAATATTAAGCACGGGGACAGTTGAGTGCCAATCCTGAAGCAGCACTTTACACTTTGACGGGGCAAAGCACATTCTGTACATAGATACCCCAATCGTCAACCGGTCTAGCATAGTTTGCATGCTCTGTGAGTCCTCACCAACTAAGGCGATATCATCACCATAACCTAAGTCAGTTGCTCGCTTTCCCGGTAATAGCTGTATACCAAAATTTCGGCAACTGTCTAGAGCTCTCGACAGGATGTCTTCTATCGCTAAATTGTAGAGAAACGGCGAGATAAAGCAGTCTTGTCGTACACCGCTATTGACAACGAAGGACGACGAAAGGCTGCCATACACTCTCACTCTGCCAGAGATGTGGAAACATAGTGCACGTAGGATGGCAGTGTACTTTTCTGGGACACCGTTCCTTAGCAAACAACGCCATAGTACAGGTCGATCAACCTAGTCCAATGCGGCACGGATATCCAGGAAAGCAACGCATGGTAGGCCTCTGGTAGATGTGGCGGTGTTCCATGCTTTGACGGAGTGAATATCTGATACACACACCCATGGCCAGGACGGAAGCCAGCTTGTTCTTCCCGGTACTGCGATTCGCGAATGCGAGACAGTCTACGGATTAGAATGGATCCCTAACAGATTGGAGACAACCGAAATGAGACTAATCCCCCGGTGCTTCGTACACAAAGTGCGTGAACCCTTATTAAAAACGGGGACAATAACTGACTCGCCCCAGGAAGACGGCACCATTTCTTCATGACCGATTTTGGAGAACAATGTGGTTAGCTGGCTAATGATAACTGAGCCTCCGTATTTGAACAGCTCCGGAGGAAGTCCGCCTGAGCCGGCAGCTTTGAATCGTCTTAGGTATCGAATCGCAAGACAAACTTCGCTTCGCTGCGTGGATCAAGTGTAACGACCCCGGGCGGGTAACTAGGTTCGCAGGGGATCTAAGCGGACGGTGAGGGCGAATTGAACTGCGAATGCAAATGTTCAGTCCATCGGTCCAAGTGTCTGTAAGTTGGCAATCGGCGAACCGTCCGCTTCGCATATAGTCTCACTGACACCAGGCTTTCTGTGGCCAGTGGATCGAATGAGCTGGAGGAGTTTGCGAGTATTACCGGAGAGAGCAGCGGCCTCCATTTCTGAAGCACCCTGAAACCACCATGCTTCACGGTCACCGCGTATGCTTTGCTTGAGTTGCCTACTGACAGAATGGCGCACTTCATCATAATTAGACTCCGCTGGTATATTCCTGCGGCTGTCTAATAAATCCAAAGCGCGCATGTGCAGATCCACGCTTTCATAGCGTGTTGGGTAAGACCACAGACTTGCTGCCCGGAAGAGATCATGGTCCTCTGCATGCACATCCAGTGTTCATCAATATCTTGCGGTGTGTCGCAGCCGAGTGCACCAGCCAGGGAAACTTGATAACTGCTGAACCGAAACAGTAGACAGTTTATTTCACGGACCCTCCGAAAACCATGCAGATCTTCGCACAGACAAGAGCATGGTCTGAGTTGAGAAAAGTAGACCAGGTGGATCTACAATCCTTTACACTACACCTCCACCTGAAACTGATTGCGGTATGATTGAGACGCAGAATGGGGCCGCCAAGTAGCGGAACGTCTCCTCGAATGCCGAAATTTGGTGCTCGAGAGAAAAAGATGATTATTTTCGTACAGTATGAGAAGTCTCTCTCCATTATCTGAGCTGCTCTCATCGAGCGCATGGTGACCACCGAGGTGACTTTCGCATGCCAGCAGACGACCAACCCGTGCGTTGAGATTCCCCGCAAGGACAGCAATGTCGGATTTGCAGACTTTGCTCAAGAGATGATGAAGTTCACGGTAGAAATCGTCGTTGACGGAGTTGGAACTGCAGTCATTTGGAGCGTAAGCTGAGATCACAAACAAGTTGCGTCTGTCCTCACGACATCGGTTTATCTTGTATGATCCCCGAAGCCGAACTGCACACGGCTATTAATCGGGAACGAGTCCAGCAGTGCTGCTTCGGCTTTGCTACTTAGCGCTACACCAACGCCAGCCAAGTCTGCCACAGCTGCTTCTGCGTCACCACATAGACGTAGGTGAAATATGACTCCGTAGTCGATGGGAGATCTCACCTCAATCACAGTACTGGGATCTTGTAAACGCGTTTCGGAAAGACAGCCAACATCACTGGCGAGGGATTTCAGGGTGCGCGTAACACCAGCTTGCTGCCCGATCTGCATGAGTGTATGTACATTGTAGTATGCCAGACAGAACGAAGACCGGAGCTGAGGTAGTGCGACTGGGCTAGCTCTCTGGGTGTCGATGAAACCATCGGGAGTATAGTCGTGGAGACAAGAATCATTTGGTAACGGAATATACTGATTGGTAACAAATGAACAGGTGGCGTGTGAAGGTGAGTGACTAGCAGGAACAAGAGCAGCTGAGAGGGATATTGCAGTTAAACAGTCCATGGTTTTGCCAGTGGGCGTGATACTACCCGGTTGCCCAAACTGAAGTAGGGAGTTGTTTTAAGAGACAACACCCGAGCCTTTAACTAAATAGCCTGCTCGTAAGGCAGCGGGGCGATTGCGAGACTGTTAGTCTGACCCCTAACCACTGATCTGTCTGGTATGTATGGCTCTGAAGGAACTTGAAAGTGCCATCCAGCGTAGCTCAGTCGATCAAAGGGCTGCACAAACCATCGCACCACATTAACGTCTAGTCTCGTTTGGATGGTTCGCCGCAGAGGTCACGTCCCCAACTCCAGGTTACCTAAGCACTGCATCATACCTTCTCTTGTTTGGGAATATCATAGATTCATCAAATGTCCCACGCATGTCCCGCGCGCACTTTCCCCCAATGACGTCCCAACAGCCTGCAAGATGCAGCGAGTGAATTGTGTGTGAAAGTCGACACTATGCGCAGTAGGTGTTGTGCAAATGCCTTGTTTTGGTAAACACCCATAATTTCTCCGGAACTGCGAAATCGCACTATTAATTCCGATCCCATACCATCTGCTGCACCCTAGGTCACCTCACATTGCGTTCTCTCATTGTTATTTTTGAATGAGTTAAATGGAATTATAAGCACGAATTTTGGTCACCTACACATTTCACGGTCCTCTCTTTGAAGTTTGCATCGGATAACCATGTGACAGATTCAACGTTGCTCCTGAAACACATGTGGTCGTCCTCGGCAGCAGCGCATATGTGTATACACTCACTATGGTCATGGACGATTGACGTGCATTTGGCTCGCGATCACTCAATACGCTCTTGCGTCCCTACTTAGCGCAACAAATGAACGAGGCACCCAGCATTACTTTTCGCTCTCACCTTAACCTCTTTCAACCGAGGCCGAACTCAGGAGGCTAGTTCGAGTGGACGAAATGGACGCGGGACGAGTGGACAGAAGTCCAACCATACACCAACCATGCTAGTTAACCGCAATCGAGGCAATATAGAATATACTGGGTGTATCACGAGCGAAATGCCGCATATATGCCGGGAAGGGCGAATCGAATTGGTCGGGTCGACAGTGAGCGAACAGCACTCGTTAGCTAACGTCTTTAGGCTGACAACGCAGTGTACAACGGTGACTTGCCAAATAAACGAGTGGAGCCGACGCAAGACGAGGGAGCAGAGCGCGAACCAAGTACCGCACACGCGAGCTGAACAAGATCACTCGGGCCAGATTGGCGGGCTTAGCATCAGGCGGACTCAACGTGGCCCCACACCAAGACCCGTGTGGATCAAACTGGGCGCAGCAGACGAACGGCATGTGCGAGATGACAACGGGAAATATCGACTGGAAACTTCATGCATCGAAATAAAACGTTTACCTTGTGTGCAGTACAAATGATGCTGTTGTTCAGGAACCAGGTACTTTGATCA